AGCTCTTCAGCTCAAGGCTAGCACTCTACCACTTGAGCCACAGCGCCACTTCCGGCTTTTTTCTTTTTGCTTATGTGGTGCTGAGGAATCGAACCCAAGGCCTCATGCATGCAAGGCAAGCGCTCTACCACTGAGCCACCTTCCTAGCCCCATAAGCGAGTCTTGTGGAATGGGATGGGACGTTTGTCTGCCACTCTGCGTGGTCCAACCTTGCCCACCTCTCCAGCTTCATCTATCCACCCTGCCCCCCTCACTCCTATCTCCTAGTCAGCTGACCATCTTTCGGTTCCTTCTATGCTTCATTCCTTTCCAACACAGGGCTTTGCACAAGCTTCTCCTCTGCATCTTCCCTGCCTACTTTCCTTCCTCCTACCAGGTCTCAGTTCCAACTCACTCATCCAGGGCTGAGTACCGTCACAATCGATCTCCCACACTGAATATGGGGCTTTTTATATACTTTTTATTATTGGCTTTAAAAATTATTAGTTGAGACAGGCACATGTGGCTCAAACTTACAATTCTAGCTACTCAGGAGGCTGAGAGCTGAGGATCCAGGTTTGAAGCCAGTCCAGACAGGAAAATCCATGAGATTCTTATCTCCAATTAATTATCCCCCCAAAAGCAGGAAGTGGAGTTGTGGCTGAAGTGGTAGAACACTAGTATTGAGCAAAAAAGGTCAAGAATCCAGCTGTTGGTAGCTCACGCCTATAAATCCTAACTACTCAGGAAGCTGAGATCTGAAGATCATGGTTCAAAGCCAGCTTAGGCAGGAAAGTCTCATGACACTCCTAGCTCCAATGAACCACCTGAACACTAGAAGTGCAGCTGTGGCTCCACTGGCAAAAGATCTCAGAGACAGTGTCCAGGCCCTGAATTTAAGCCCCATGACCCCCCAAAGGGCCAAGGGCAAGGGTCAGGGAAAGCATCCAGGCCCCCCCTTTCTCTCTCTCTCTCTCCCTTACACACACACACACACGCACTGCACACACATGTGCTCACACACACACACACACACACACACCAATTTAGTAGCTGTTTCCCACATTAGACTGTGCACTCCAGGGAGAAAGAAAGGACTTTTCTTGAGTTTGCTAACCACAACACAGCATCACCAGCACCAGGTTTTTCTCAAGGTGCTCAATAAATGTCTGTCAAAAGAATGAGCTAAGGCTGACCGTGGGGTTCCTGCCTAAAATCCTAGTGATCAGGAGGCTGAAGCAGGAGGATGGAGAATTCAAGCCAGCCTAGGCTACATAGTGAGACACTGTCACACCACCAAAATGTACCACGAGAGGCTGTGCCTGTGTGCTGGGTCCCTCCTGAGCCTCTGTGGCTCACGTGGTACCTGTTTAAGAACGTGCCTCATGCAGGTTTCTGGGGAGTAAGGTCTCTGTGGGGGGAATGTGGGAATTTAGAATTTGAGGAGCTCCTGGAGCCCCTTTGACAACCAGAGAAACCCAGAGAAACAAATGGGAACACTTCTCAGAGTCAGAAAGGGTGAGGTTGGGAAGGAAGATTTGGTGGCTGAGTCCTTAAGGGGCTTTTGTAAAAAGATAAGGAAGGCCTGGCTGCTGGCGGCTCACACCTATAATCCTAGCTACTCTGGAGGCTGAATCTGAGGATTGCATTTTGAAACCAGCTCAGGCAGGAAAGTCCATGAGACTCTTTATCTCCAATTAATCACAAAAGGCTAGAAGTAGAGCTGTGGCTCAAGGGGTAGAGAGCTTTCCTTGAGCAAAAAGAAGCTCAGGGACAGCTCACAGGCCCTGAGTTCAAGCCCCAGGACTAGCCAAAAATAAATAAATAAATAAGAAAGGGTAGGTGGGAGACCCAAACCTGGACAAATGACCTTGTAGCACAGGATTGCCTTGCCTGGTCCCTGGATCCGTTGCTAGTGTCCGTAGGGGGAGCACCCCCTACCCCACCCCAGATCACCAGGGAAACATTTCCTGGCAAGGTTCCAGTCTGATTGTTCAGCATGACGGCAAAGGCCACTGAGAGGGGAGAAATGGCTCAGGGAGTTTCATGTCAAAATGTCTGACAGCCAAGGAGGGGAAAGAGGGTCCTGGTCCCACGCGGGCTTCTCGCTACCCTGCCAGGCACCCCCCCTTCCCCAGCTCTGGGGCCTTCCTCTACCCCACACCCTGCTCCATCTCTCACCTACCTTCTTCCCTTTCTTGACTTCATATTCCATGGTGAAGCGCCCCTCTACTCCTGTCACCCTCCAGGCCACCCCCTCCACCCTTAGTTCCTTTGTTCTTTTTCCTGCCTGGTCGGAAACTCCACCAGCACTGAGTTCCTGCCCCTCCCATCCGATGGCGGGGACATGGGGGAGGATGGAGGACACAGCCTCAAGACCCTCCAGCAAGCAGGCATGCTGTCCAGACAGCGTAACTGTTTGGGTAATGCTGGGGAAGGGTCCCCGCCCCCCATATTTGGAGGCTACTTACATTTGGAAAATCTTAAATTCTAATCCTATTTCTGCCACTGGCCTTGGTGTTCACATTGGCAAGAAAAGGCCATTCCCCATTTTGGAGCCTTTGTCTCCTCTCTAGAGATGCCTCTTTTCCTGGGCAGAGAAGGCATGAGAGACTAAGTGAGAAATGCTCATAAACTACTCAGAACTGTATCCCAAAACATAGTCATTACTCTTTTTTTTTTTGTCAGTTGTGGGGCCTGAACTCTGGGCCTGGGCGCTGTCTCTCAGCTCTTCAGCTCAAGGTTAGCACTCTATCACTTGAGCCACAGCGCTACTTCCAGCTTTTTCTGCTTATGTGGTTCTGAGGAATCGAACCCAGGGCCTCATGCATGCAAGGAAAGCGCTCTACCACTGAGCCACCTTCCCAGCCTGTCATTACTCTTTTTTGTTGTTGCTGTTGGTAGTGGGTCTTGAACACTCAGCCTGGGAGCTGTGCCTGAGCTCTTTTGCTCAAGGCTAGCACTCTCCCACTTTGAGCCACAGCCCACTTCTGGTTTTCTGGTGGTTGATTGGAGATGAGAGTCTCACAGACTTTTCTGCCCCAGCTGGCTTTGAACCTCAATTCTCAGATCTCAGGCTTCTGAGTAGCTAGGATTACAGGTGTGAGCACCAGCACCCAGCTCATAGTTATTACTCTATAGGGAAGCGATATTGTGCACTTTGGGGATTCTGTGGCTTTGTGACTGACTAGGGTTATGAGACCTTGGGCAAATTCTTTCACCAGTTAGCCTCAGTCTCCCCTTCTGTAAAATGGCCAGTAATGCTAGCTTGACCTCATAGTGACTTCGTGAGTATTAAATGCGCTTAGGAGAGATTCTTTTCTTTTTCTTTTTTTTTCTTTTTTTTTTGGTCAGTTGTGGGGCTTGAATTCTGGGCCTGAGTGCTATCTCTGCGCTCTTCAGCTCAAGGTGAACACTCTACTGCTTGAGCCACAGCGCCACTTCCAGTTTTCGAGTGGTTTATGGGAGATAAGAGTCTCATGGTCTCTCCTGCCTGGGCTGGCTTTGAACCTCGATCCTCATATTTCGGCCTCCTGAGTAGCTAGGATTACAGGCTTGAGCCACCTGCACCTGGCATAGATTCTTTTCTTTGTTAAGGTCTGAGACTGAGACTTGAACTCAGTACCTGATGTTTTTGTTCAGTGGCTAGTGCTCTACCAACTGAGCCACACCTCCAACCTCATACTTAGAAGCGATTCTGACACATTGTAAGTTTATCTTCTCTCCTCCTCCTCCTGCTCCTCCTCCTCTTCTTTTTCTTCTCCTCTTCTTCTTCCTCCTTATTCCTCTTCCTCCTCCTTCCTCTTTTTCCTCCCCCCTCCTCTCTTTTTTGGATACAGGGTCTCATTATGCACCCCAAACTGTCTATGAACTTGTGATCCTGCTGTAAAAACCTCACAAAAGGGGGCTGGGAAGGTGGCTCAGTGGTAGAGCACTTACTTTGCATGCTCAAGGCCCTGGGTTCGATTCCTTAGCACCACATAAGCAAAAAGAAAAAAGCCGGAAGTGGCGCTGTGGCTCAAGTGGTAGAGCGCTAGCCTTGAGCTGAAGAGCTGAGGGACAGTGCCCAGGCCCAGAGTTCAGGCCCCATGACCGGACCCAAAAAAAAAAAAAAAAAAACCTCACAAAATACAGGTATGTGGTACCATGTCTGGCAGTACTCAATAAATATTAACTGTTGGAGCTGGGGGTGTAGCTCGATAGTAGAGCACTTGTTTAGAGCCTGTGAGGCCCTAGGTTCCAACACTGCCAAAAATAAAATAAAAATAAATAAATGGACTATTAATCTATGCCTGGGGGGCTGTTAGACTGCCTCTTGGAAGGGCAAAGGTAGAGTGGGGAGAGGGCCTCTTGTGTGCCTGTGCTAAGCATTTTACACAAGCCATACCACTCCTTCCTCATGGTGTTGAGGAACCATTACTTCCATTACAAACCTCATATTAAAAACCAAGATGTAACTGGAACAGGCTCATGCCTGTAATCCTAGCTACTCAGGGGGCTGAGATCTGAGGATCACAATTTGAAGCCTGCCAGGGCAGGAAAGCCCATGAGACTCTTATTTCCAATTAACCACCAAAAAGCTGGAAGTGAAGCTGTGGCTCAAGTGGTAGACTGCTAGCCTTGAGCACAAAAGTTCAGGGACAAGAGCTCAGGGCCTGGAGTTCAGCTTCAGACCAGCATGTACATGCACATGCACGCACGCACACACGCACACCCCAAATCGAGACACCAGTGCAGAGCCTAACCCAGGAAGGTCACACAGTAGGTAAGGCAACCAGGGCTCCTGGCTGGTTTGGGTCTGAAGCCTAGTGCCCCTTCCCTCTGGGTCCCAGGCCTGCTGCTTGTCTTACCCAAGATGCTTGGCAAGGCTCTGAGTGGTCCATCCCCACTGGCCATCACACTAGGGTTGTGGAGCCCCATGCTCTGCTCTGGAGCTGCTTTGTTGTGCAGCCCCCGGGCCAGGCTGCTTTCTCTAAGCTCTCAGGATCATCTTCTCCATGGGAAGCAAGGTCCCCAGGGGCGGCAAGGCCATGGAAGAGGAAGCAATGGGGAATTGTGAGGGCAGGTGCAGGGCTGCGGGCTGGCTTGCACAGGGTGTTTAAAGCATGACATGTCAGGTCTGTGTTGTTTGGCAGTGCCGGAGGGCCAGGCTCCTGTTTGTCTCAGAGTAAGGTAGCTATGGAGACTCCAAGCCCCCAGTCCCTCTCTCCTTTCTCTCCCCCTCCATCAGAGGGAAGAAGGCCTCAGCCTCTCCCTCCTGCTTTGCTCCATGCTGCCAGCCACCTCCCAGTGGCAGGAAGAGAGAACTCCACTCAGCCTGCTGGGCCAACAGGAAGAGGTCAGGATGTGAGCCGAGCCCTGGCTCTGCTCTGGACATCAGAATTGCCATTTAACCCTGTAAACCAACCCAGAATTCCCACCTGCTGGAAATCTCAACTAGTGCAAAATATGTTTTTGTTTTTGTAGGTCCTGGGGCTTGAACTCTGGGCCTGGTGCTGTCCCTCAGAAATTCAGCTCAAAGCTAGTCTCTACCACTTGAGCCACAGTGCCACTTCTGGTTTTCTGGTGGTTAATTGGAGATAAGAGTCTTATGGATCCCTTCCCAGGCTGGCTTTAAACTGCTATTCTTAGATCTCAGCCTCCTAAGTAGCTAGGATTACAGGTATGAGCCACCGGCACCTGGCAAGAAATGCTTTTTAAAAAACTTTGGTTGTTTTTTGCTTGAACCCTGGGCTTGGGTGCTTGACTCTGAGCTTCTTTTGCTCAAGGCTAGTGCTCTACCACTTGAGCCACAGCACCACTTCCAGCTTTTTCTGAGTAATTTATTAGTGAGAGTCTCGTGACCTTTTCTGCCCTGGCTCTGAACCATGATCCTTAGATCTCAGTCCCCCTCCTGCCCCCAGCAGCTAAGATCATAGCATGAACCACCAGCACCCAACACAAGAAATGTTTTGAATACTACTAGATGTAGAAAACGATCTCTGCCTTCCCTGTAGTGCCCACCTCAGATCCATGAGCAGACAACTTGCTTAGTCTCAAGGTCAGTAAAGTAGGTAGAGACAGGAGGACCTAGGTTCAAAGGGAATGAACTTGCATGTGTTCACCTAATCTCCCAGAGCCTCAGAGTCCTTAGGTGTCAAAAGCAGGATAGTTCTGGTGCCTGCCTCAGAAGCTGGTGCAGGGGCAGAATGAGAACAGAAGCATACAACAATAGCGTGTATTACTGAAAATAGCTCGTGAGTCAAAAATGAGATGAGCCAAAGCCTCTGCTTTCAAAAGTTTACTACGGCAGGTAAGATTCGAGTCCAGTTGATTCGCAGGGGCTGTCGGGAGAGGTGTGTAGAATAAAATCCAGATCTGGCTGGCTGGAACCTTATGGCTCACACCAGTAATCTTAGCTACTCAGGAGGCTGAGATCTGAGGATCACAGTTCAAAGCCAGCCTGGGCAGGAAAGTCCATGACTCTCTTATCTCCAATTAACCACTAAAAAGTGGGAAATGGAGCTGTAGCTCAAGTTATACAATGCTAGCCTGAGGAGAAAAAAAAAAGCTCAAGGATAGCACCCAGGACCTGCGTTCAAGCCCCAGGACTTGAAGGTGCCAGGATTGGCACCTAACAAAAAATAGATCTGGGAGCTGGGAAGGTGGCTCATTGGTAGAGTGCTTGCCTTGCATGCATGAGGCCCTAGGTTCAATTCCTCAGCACCACATAAGCAGAAAAAGTCGGAAGTGGGGCTGAGGCTCAAGTGGTAGAGCGCTAGTCTACAGCTGAAGAGCTGAGGGACAGAGCCTAGGCCCAGAGTTCAGGCCCCACGACCAACCAAAAAAAAAAGGAAAAAATCGATCTGTTCCCAGCAGGAGAAAGGAGAAGGGGATTGATTTGCAATGTCTGGCTGACTGATTGAGATTCTATCCAAATCAACAGGGAAGTTTGTCTAATGCCCTGCCTGTTTGACGTTACTGGGAATTGAACTCAGGGCCTTGAGTTTGCTTAGGCAACTGCTCTACCATTTGAGTCACACTTTCTGCCTGTGCTTTTCTGTCTGGCAGCCACAGGAATTGTGGTAGAAGGAAGCCTTCCTCTCATCCTTTCTCCACCCCCCCCACCCCTTCCAGAGCAGCCAAAACAATAGGACACAAGCAGCATGTACTGAAATGATTTTTAATATCTCATGTCGCAGCAAAATTAAAAATATACAAAAAGTTTGTGGTGTACAAAAGTCTCAGTACAGAAGCCCCAGCTTGGCCCCCCTCCCTCCTGGGGAAGCTCAGAAGGGCCAGCTTGTTGGATGGGGGGAGACTGGGAATGGCACAGATGTAGTAAATACCAGGAGGTGAGACAGAGAAGAGGAAACAGAAGTGGGCAGCAGTTGGGGCTGAGCGAGGAGGGACAGGAGAATCACCCTACATTGTGCTGACAGAGGGAAATTGGCCCCTCAGGCATGGCTAGTGGCTCCTAGAGAAAAGATGGTAGGGGAGAGATCAGAGTTGAGGGTGTTCTGGTCCCACTCTGCTGCCAACTTGCTGTGTGACCTTGGGTACGCTTTCTCCTGTCTCTGGGTCTGCCCTTCCTGCAAAAGAGGATGCTGGGTAACTAAACCACTGATTCTCAACTAGGGGCCCCAGAGCCCACCTGAGAGTCTGTGGTGGCAGGAATTGGCATCTCTGAATGCTTTTATTTTTGGGGGGGGGTTGTTTTGCCTTAAGCAATCCAATAGAATATAGAAATTCTCTCACCAAAAACCTTGGCAGCTTTATCTGTTCCCAGAAGCTCAGCTTGAGCTCATTGAATGTGGCAAAATGAATCAATCCTTTGTCTAGAAAGGGGACTTGGCTTGGGGGAAAAACAGCTCTCCCAAACTGCAGGATCCTCAGGAGCGGGGACAGTAAGGAAAGGCTCGGGGAATGGTGCGGGCTCTTTCTGGCTGTTTACGGCAGTCTTGGGTGAAGGAAGATGGAGGCCAGCCTTTCCTCACCTCAGGCCGTCTTCCACCATTTTGTTCCAGGGTCCCCTCCACTGGGAGTTTATTGCAAGTGCTCTGGGGCCCCCATTTTCCAGCCTGGCCTGGGGGTCCTTTCAATCTTGTGCATAGAGTGAAGGCCAGCGTACTGAGGGAAGAGTGGCCCCCCTGTCAGGAGGTTCGAGTGGAAGGTGCCAAGCACGGGCATCTCTCCAGGGATGGGGCCAGGCAGGGCTTTTCTCACCCTCCCGCAGTGTCCTGTTCTAGGGTTCTTCCTCCCCTCTACCTACAGCAACCAAGTACCAAAGAATGTCCCCTCCCCAACCAGAATGTCACACTATACCCCCTCCCCACGCTGCCAACCCGGGAATCCCAGAGGCCTGATTGAGACGCGGGGCCCAGGCCCCTGTCCCACAGCTGCCCATGTGTCTTAACACCAAGAACAGGATGGAGGAGTCTTGTCCTTCAGTTTATCCTGTGCCTGGACTTTTCCTGTCCTGGTGCAAGTTTCTCCTCTCCAGGAGCCCCAGCCTGGAGAAGAGTCCTGTCCCCAGGCACTGGAGGTGGCAGTGGCCCTTCTCAGATGCTGGCTTCCCCAGCCAAGGGCTTGGGGACACCCAGACCTCCTCTTCTTTCCAGCTTTTGGCTGGTCAGAAGACGGGGGAGGCTTAGCAGTCTCAAAGGGGGCTAAAACCTCTGCTGCTGACTTTCCCACGAGCGTCTCCAGTCTCTGCTTTTTGAAAGAGCCATCTCAATAGTTTGAACCAGAGATCTCAGAACCAGTGGTCTGGAAGCTAAATATGAGTGTTTTGTTTGGCCAATTCTTTTGTTTTAGTGTTAACGTTAGTGCCTATCCACAGAGCGCCCTGTGCTTCGGCCGGAGTCCCCAGCACTCCCTATTGGCTAGGACCTCCGCGTCTCCCACTCCCATTACTAGAGACATTTGAGTTGGCAACCTGTGCACCCCACTGTCGGAGGCTTCCGTGGCCTCTAGCCCAGGCAAGGTCCCAAGGGAAGGATCTAAGGAACTTGAGTCTGCAGCAGGCAAATTCCCAGCCTGTGCTCTTGCCCCTCTCGTGGGCGGGCAGCCTCAGGGAGACACGGGGGGAAGCAGGGAGCTGGGGGAGGGCAAGACAAATGTAGGGAAGACTCAAGCATGAGGCAGATAAGGAGCAAGGAAGCTCCCTTGTTGGGGAGCCCCCTGCTGGGGAAGGTGGAGGCTTGTGCTGGCAGCCTGGGTGACCATTACAAGGCACCTGGTACAGCAGTGTGGAGGTGGGCCGTGAGCCATGGGTGCCCGCAGTGGCTTGAGGCCCGGTCATAGCCTGCGAAACTGGTGCAAAGGTGGGAGTTCAAGGACACAGGGAGACAAACATTGTCCCTGGGAATAGGAACAAGTCTTGTGTGGGGGGAGGGGCAGGAGAAGCAGGTATGAAGGCAGGACAGGGACCCAGAGTGTCCTGTTCTCTTCTGCTCCCTGTGACATTAAGACTGACCTGACTACTGTTCATCTACCATTGCCTTCCTGTGTGATCTTGGGCAAGTACCTGGTCCTCTCTGGCTGTTTCTTCTACACAATGAGTGGGGAGGACAGCAGGTTTCAGGGACCCCCCCCAAGGGTGTTTTTGGCTGTGGTTCTAATTACTGTCCAGCTGCATGGCCCCTGTGGGGGTCCTGGGGAAGCCTGAGCATCCAGGCTGGGCAAGGAAAAGAGAAAAGAGAACAGGCTGAGCGCCCATGGCTCACATCTGTAATCCTAGCTACTCAGGAGGCTGAGATCTGAGGATTGTGGTTCAAGGCTAGCCCTGTCAGGAAAGTCTGAGAGAGCCTTTTTATCTCCAATTAACCACCAGAAAACTGGAAGTGGTGCTATGGCTCAAAGTGGTAGACTGCTAGCGTTGAACAAAAGAGCTCAGGTTCAAGCCCCACAACTGACGGGGGGCGGGGGAGGGGGGAGGCCCCATGGGGTCTGGTTCTGGCAGGGAAGAGAGGCTGGCTGAGGTAGATTGAGTCATAGAAAAGAGCAGGAAACAATAGCTCCAAGGGCCTGAAGACTCCTCTATTCAGACCCTGCTCCCAGTGAAGCAAGGGGATAAGCCAGGGAGGAGAGGGACCTTAGGTCATGCAGGATGGGGATCCTGCACAGCAGGGAAGGGAGTCCTTTAGGGGCTGAGCTCTCCTGGCGGAAAGAAGCAGAAGGTACCCAGAACCCTCTCCTCAGGCCTTTTGAGACGATGAGAGGGTGAAGTCCAAACAATGTGAGCCTCAAGCGCCGCCTGCCTCTGCCCCTCGTCCCTGGCTCCCTGGTGTCTCCTGGACTAAAGGCTCCCAGCTCCTACGCAGGGTCTTTTCGCTTTTCCATCTAGGATACTGGGAGGATTGGGGGCCACTAGTTAAGTGATTTATACTCTGGGGGAGTACAATAACTTGCCAAGGGTGACCCGTGCATCCCCTTGCTGGGCCTGTTTCCTCACCTGGAGGGCAGACGGGTGGATTACACACCTCCCTTGGGAGTGAAAGATGAGGCGTGAACCAAAGGGAGGAAGATAGCAACACAGAGTGAACATTCCTGGCACAGTCAGCCTAGAGAAACAAACAGGAGTTTGGTCAGAGTCCTCATCTTCAACACTGCCTGACAGAGGCTGTGGCGTGTGTAATGGGCCGTGGAATTAGCTCTTTCTGAAGACAGATCTGTGCAGAGAAGAATGTGTGACCCATCCACACGGGTCTGGGTCAGAATGGAACTAGCTGTCACTCTTAAGGCCAGGATCTTGAGGCTTTTTAAAGATGAGAGAAATGGAAGGAAGGACAGGGCTTTCTCCTGAGATG